TGGACCTACCTACCTACCTACTTACTGTTGATGCGCAGCCAGACGGGATGAAGGTCGATGTGATGATGTACTGGGATCCATGCCACCACCGGTACTGCATCGGCGTGTAGCTCTTGCTAGGTAGGCACTCCTCTACTGTACACTAGGTACTGCCGATGGAGGGGCATCTGCAACCGACCGATGGAGAGGACAAGGCAGGCAGGAACAAGACTCGAGCAGTGAGGGGTACACACACCGCATTCATTTGATTTGCACAGACATTCCTGACATTGCATAATGTCTCTCTCTTTTTGGGCCTAATCCCCGTCTATTCCATACTGCGCATAGTGCCCTTGATTGTTGAATGCTGTTCTTGTGTGGTTCGGCTGGAAACCCCACCATTATCCTCCAATGCATTGGTAGTAGGTACAGCTTGACATGCAAGTGTCCAGACGTCCAAAGATAGACCACCATGACCACTTCCAGTGTGTTATGTACTGCATCGCATCTTGCATGTCCTGTGTAATTTGAGACCAGAAAACATTAAACAAAATGACTAAAGAGCCGTGGTGATGCCGTTTCAGAGCCAAAAGGTCTGAAAAGTGGTGCACACTACGCTAGCAAGGACTCGACAGTGTCATTGGTGTTTTGTTCCTTGGCGGTTGTTTCTTGAGCTGTGAGGATGAGCTACAGAATGTGTGACGTCATCAGGCTAATCTACCTACTTGTAGCGCATGTAGCTATTCCAATTAGCCCTGCTCTGCGGCACCGAGATCAGTTGGAATTCCCGTATGCGCAGCTCTCAAACTCTCGGAAATGGACTGAACGTTTGTTTCGATTTTTATCAGATCGTCGTAGTTTGTGTGTCTCTCTTTCTTGTCCTTACCGGCGATCGGTTCTAGAACCATTCATAATCCAGTAAAGAGCAGCAAAGATTATCCCGAGATATGGCTGGTTTGCCAAGTTAGGATTAGTAAAAGGCATTCCTGAGATAACCCCCAACGGTTCCGGTTCAGGTTGCCTGTTCAAAGCTCGTGTTGTCAGCTTGTCAAGTCTCTGGCATCCAAACTGTCACATTACTCATGTCAATGAAAAGAAACCCAGCCTGAGCTAGCCCTCCACAGCGCATTCATGCCCGAAAAGGAGGGGAAGAAAGGCCCGAACAGATCAGATCCACAACGAAGCAACGTCTATGAGTTGGCTTTGGAGTTTTCGAGACTCTGTGAACTGCTGTTGGTCGGCTGCATCCAAGATGAGATAACAAGGTCCACTTTAGCTCATTCTAGTTCAGGACTTTCCATTCGACCGTCGAACCCCCCCAACTGTGGCTTACTGCTGCTGTGTTACCTTCGCAGATAGCCTCATAGACCTCAGGCAACACGACAAACGCCATGTAGCTTACCAGAAAGGGTCCTGAACATGAACATGTACAAATCAACTGGATATGTGCTGCGCACCATTTCTTGCTCGAATGTGTAACATCTCAAAATCCTGCGTCGTTGGTTTCGTTTGGATGCGTATTACAGAGATTCATAGGGCTGTTGGTTGTATGTCCTGTGCAGCGACACCTGTAGCCCATGCACTGCAGCTGCATCGGGTTATGACAGCCCAGCTGGAGATAACCTCCGGCTGAGCTGGCTACGCTCGTAAGAAGATGGCAAAGAGAGAGAGAGAAAACACAGATACGGGGACTTGAAGATATGATGAGAATTGGGGATTAAACTGGTGTGAATTCATACCAAATGGCTTCGCTGCCGTAAAAGCCATGCCTAATGCATCTATTGAACATCATGAGATCGCTGTTGCCCTGAACACCCCCTCTTCCTTTTGCTCGCCCAAATAGAAACATGCGCCAAAGTACCTAATCACAAAGCCCACGACGAGGCTCGACTACCCCTCAGAGCCCCGAATCCACTCGGTAGGCTCGAATCAAGAGGACAACATTATCAGGTCAACAAAGCCGGAAATGCCATCGTCGCCCTACAGCTTAGGCTTCACAGGCCCCGTCTTGTTACCATCAGCCGCCGCGGCAGCCAGAGCCGCAGCCGTCGCCTCCTTGTTGACAACAATCTCGCCCGTCTTCGGGCCGTCGTATCCAAAGAAGATAACCTGGACCGTCAAATCATCACGGTATCTCCTCGAAAAGGGCGAAGGGAGCGTCAACAGGGCCGACACTTGTTCTTGGTTCTTCCCACCGAGGGCGTTGCGAACAAGATGTGTAGCAACATTCTTATCCTGAACCACAAACCGTTCCATAGGGTCCGTACCGGTAGCGCCCCACTGTCTCTGACGAATGGGCGTCTTGTTGCCGCTATTCTTCTCCGACTCGCTGGATTCGACAGGCAGGGCTGTCTTGCTACCCTTTTGCAAGAAGGAGAAATATCCCGACGACTTGGAGCTGCTACCAGCTTGGCTCTCGATCCACTTGCCCACCAGCCCAACCACCTCCTCGTTGGTCAACATCTCCCACAAGCCGTCTGTGGCCATGACCACAAAATCACCCTTTTCAGGCTCGATCTTGGTCGTTGTAACGACTGGCTCGGCGGTGACATATGGGGGTGTCTTGAGAAGGGGAGAAACAGACCTACCAAAGAACTTTTCCCGAAGCTTCTCTGAAAGTTCGCGGCTCCATTTGTAGCTCGCATCGCCGAAGGCGCGTGTCGGCTCAAGGCCGCCAAGTACGCGACCGTGACGAACCACATGCTCTTCACCCGGGTGCAGTTTGCGCAAGCGAGCAGCCTCGTCCGGGTTACTACCCGTCTGGTCGGTTGATAGGGCAGTTGCCGTCCACTTTCCAGATTCGGATCTGCGACCCAACACTGCGCGCGAATCGCCAGTGCAAGCAACCCGGAGAAGCTTGGACTTGCTGTCGTAGAAGGAGAGCAGAGCACACGAGCCTGACAAGGCTGGGGCCAGATGTTCGGCAGCAACGAGCCGGTTGTTGGACTTCAGAACCCTTTGTACGCTCTGATGCACAATTTCGTCATCCAGTCGCGTAAATCCGGTTTTTATGGCAGACTCAACCGCGGCGGCAGACGGGATAAGATCCGGAGAAGACTTGTAGGTCTCGTTGAGTTCGCGAGCAACGAAACTGATGAGTGCCTGGCGTAGTTTGGCCGATGTGGTCCAGCCTCTGTATGGAATGTTGTTAGTCGTCGCTCAACAAGCACTGACTATATCAAGAATGTATATATATATATATATATAGTCCGCGTGGGAGAGTCACTTACGAATGGCCATCGAAAACACCCCAAAACATCCAATCGCTCGGATCACTGCTCGGAGCCTTGTTGGGCACCTCGACAATCTTTTCGGCATGGTCATCCTCGATCGGATCGTTAGAGGGCAGCTGGGCCACGTCGTAGCGAACCACACCCTGACCACGGTTAACGTAGACCGACTGCTCGTACTGGCGTAGCTTCCGGGTCGCTTGCTCGGGGGACAACATCTCGACTACTCTTTCGTTATCGCTTGTGGTCTTGGAAATAGGGCCGTCTCCCACAAAGGTACCCGTGTGTAACTCGTCGGCTCCGATCACCAGGACAGACCGGGTCGGGACAGCGCCCGTGGCGGTGGTGGTTGCGCTAGTCGTCGAGGCTATCGGAGACTCGCTATTGCTGTCGCCGGAGTTGTACCAGGCACCGTATGCGACAAGCCCTGAAAGCAGGGTGACGAAAGCGCCGCGGACGTACATGGATGAACGAAGGGGCTCGGGGCGAGCATTCGAATGATGATGCGTACCTGAAGAGTCGCGCGCGCCGGTAGACGACAGGTATCTTGCGGTAGCCGTGCCGAGACGGGGATTGTAATGAGCTGTGGGGGAACCGGAACTGGCTGCCTTTGAGGACTGCAGCAGGGGGAGAGGTGATCCCCTACTGCTAACTCGTAGGCCCCGGCAGGTGCACTGGTAGCTCGTCCGTAGAGCTTTGACGGCAGCACGACGCATGGCTTTTGAGGCTGAAGACCACTCCTTCCCAAAGACGGAGAGATGTAGCAAGAGATAAAAGTAGAGGTACGTGGTGAAGGGTCGATGTGAGGCGTCTTTGGCGACGGTGATAAATGTGGGTGTTGATGGGTTCAGTCGTCCACTCGCTGGGGTCAGGCCAGTGCGAGATACGGTGCGCTGTCGCTCCGTCGCTGTCACACAGCGCTCAAGTGCTAAGTACGAGATTAGGTTGTGGTGAACGATCGCAGTGTGCAGTCGAGTCTGGCTCGTCTGAGTCGGTGGGCGTATTGGCGTGGATTGCCCCTGGAGAAAAGGTAACGCAGTGCCGGACGCTGATGGAGATGGGAGAAGTTGAAACTTGGCTATGATCTAGAGGTATTATATCGGTCTACTGTGTAAAGAGCAATTCCGTTTTGATTTGGAAAAGATGTCGGGTGGGTGTTTGTTTGTACGAGAAAGGCGAAGGGAAGCAACATGAAAGCGACGGAGCAATGCCCTGTGTGTACCTACATATGTCAGTGCACGTTCGTCCCTGAGATCTCAGTGGCCATTCCGCTGTATCACGGCCGCATTTCAGGGGTGCGCAGTGTTTGGTCGTTGCTCTCAACGTGCCTCCCTGTGGCGTGTAGAGGTAGGAACGGGATCTCAAGATCGGGTCCGTGCTCGTTGCCTGGTGAGCCTGGATCTTTCCCTCACCCGTACTCACCTGGTCATCCTCAGGCGCAGGCTGGGACAGCAGGGTTCTCTTATTAGTGGACCTCACTTCCCGCCCTTGCCTCGCTAGGTACCCAGACCGGACCCCAGAACGACTACAACATCCCGGACAACTTGAACCTCGTTCCGTCATCCCACCCCGGAAACTCACATGTGATACACCGAGAAGTGTTATTCTCGTCTTTTCAGAAAAGCTCCATTTGTAGCTATTGCAGCTGCTGGTCTGCTGCACAAGCTTCCTTTCACATCACCTCGTGGACTCTCATTCCAGTGAAGGTGACATCTTCCTCCTGAATCGTAGGCTTCATCGAACGGGCACGCGGGATCTCTACGCCAGCCCCTCACTTTCCACAACCACAAAATGGAGATTCCTACACAACAACCGTCAACGGGCGGCAATGACGTCGCCGCCTTCAAGAAGTTTGATGCCTACCCTTGGATCAAGGACCGTTCCTTTCTTGTGAGTCAACTCGCGGTGACCATGTGAGATGCGCCTCACTCAGGCCTCACCTGTGAATCTCTCTCCTCACAAACCGTCCTCACTCGGTACCGCTCACCATGTAACAACTTTCAACCCCAAAGACTGACCGCTACCATCATCATCGCAGCAAGGGCTGGTAGCCATGCTGGGCCCTCTCTCAAACGGGTTCGAGCGCCAAAAGGCTCTTGGCATCTCTCTCCAAGCCCGCGTCTGGTGGTACAAGTCCCGCTTCAGTATCGACATCGACCGGTCCGCCTACGAGAACTATCTTCTCCCTTCGTCATCTCCTTCGACACCCTCGCACTCACAAATTCCCAATTCGCCAGTCGACGCCCAGCTAGTTGACAAGCTCGCCGAGATCCAGCAGCTCATGGGCACTACCCCTGTCTCAGCATCAGATGACGATCTACCCGCTTGGCAAGTCCAGGCTCCCAAGGTGGATTTACTCAAAAAGGCCGATGATGGTGACGCCGATGGTGCTGAAAGGGGAGCCAATGGTAATGCTCCTTACCCGGAGCGTTTCAACGCCATCATTGAGCTCATCACGAATGGGACGCCGGTCCCTGGCATCAAGGAGATTCCTAATACGGTTGTCAGGCAGCCTGTGAGTTTTCCACTTTCACTTATATATCGTGCGCGTTTCCCCTTTCAAATAGCCCTTCTTCCTTCGTTGGAAACTATGAAGAGCTGGAAGTAAAAGACTTCAAAACTGATGGAAAAAGAATGAAACGTTGAACAAACACTAACTCTGCCTCTCATTCTCCTTTAGGGTATTTCTCCCATTGGAAAGATGCAAGCTCCCCAGAAGCCCTGGGAGAAGAAGCAACAACAAGCTGCAGCCGCGAACCTCGTCACTTCCGAGGTCATGATCGATCGTGAATTCCCTCCCCTCCCACCTGAGGACGAGGAGCAAGAGCATCAGCGAGACCAGCCACAGAAGATGGGAGCCTAGTCAGTTTCCGCTCGTGACGGCTTTCCCCCCAAGATGTGCGCGGCAGCACATATCAAGATTGGTCGTATTTCCATGATTAGACGTCATCTCTTATTCTCAAACCTAGTGAAGTACCCGAGCCACATGATGAGCTCGTCCCTCATCAGGGGCAAGATGATGCGTAAGATGGTGCTAGAGTGTGAGGACGGAGTGCATAGCATGGTATAGAGTCGTGGTTTTGGCAGCGGTTTCATTACTTGCATATATATCAATGAGCAGATGGCAATGCTCTCTGTGGGGTTCCTGCTCGTTTCTCCGTTAGTATCCCCCAAGTCATGATCTGGCAAATCCAGATTTGGGAGGTTCTTACGTAGATGTGGCGGTCCACTGGCGGGCAACGATCTTATTGAGCAGATGGCAATGCTTACTGGGCGGCCGCTATACATGGCTTCATGGGATACATCCAGCATGTTTTGGCGCACAAAGATTTGACTTTCTGGTCGTGTATCTCACGTTGTTTGATGTTGATTTAGCCTAGTAATCCCCTTTAGTGCTACCGAACATAGCTTCAGTATGGAGTAGACGTCGGTCACAATTTACTGAGCAAGAAGTCCATAAAGCGTCACGGGGATCTCAGGAAATGATCCCTGGGATGTTCCAGTAAATATACAATCATTCTGCCGATGACTTTGCTGGGAGACTGGTCCATGGAACTATTTGCAACGGCAAGAGCATCCACAGCAACATATTCGATAGGCGATGAATCGATTCGAGAGTAAAGCTACCTAGGTACAACCGTAGTTCGTTGAATAGGATTGACCCTAACGACTACGATTGAATGGAATTGTCATCCATGGATGGATTGTGAACGAAATATACTTGGTTGGATTATTATGCAGTTGTTTGAACATCCCAGGAATTGATTTCTCAAGCCCTCGTGGCACGCCATGAGAGATGACTGGACAGACCAGCCATATAAGTAACATTGCATACAACCCTGCTACTCTAGGCCTGACTGTAAGCATCGACACCTCTCTTCACAACGTCCACACCATCATCCCTTCAATATATACATGCACAATAAACACAAAGCTAGGACAAAAATAAATCAAAGAGCAAGAACAAAACTCTGTATGTCTCTTATTGTTCTTCAAAAAAAAACAACTTGCAGCAACTGGGATGCATGCGGTAAGAACAAGTTGAAAAGAGAAAGCAAAGAAAGACGGAAATCCCTCCTTCCTCTCTTTTTTCATCCTTATATGTCCTGCACTGTACTGTGATCCAGTGTCTGTTGGTTTGGCTGTATCTGTCTGTCTGTTGTCTTGTTCATTATATGCCCCCCTTACCTTTGCCTTGCTTTTCCCTACGCTTGATCTCTGATGCTTGTCTATGCACCATAGGCGATCTGACCCCTAGGTCTATCCTCCTCCATGCCGGGAGCCATGAAGTTGGTTCGGGGATCACCCGTCTCCTTGGCGGCTGAGCAACGGGCCATGGTTGGGGAGCTGTGAATTGTGGACGGTTAGTGGATACTGCGTTATGATCTGATGGAAGTGGAGATGTCGACAGCGTAACAAAAGAGAACGAACCTTCTGGAAATGGCGTCAGTAAAGTAGAAGTTCTCGATAACCTTCTTGAGGGGCTCGTTGGTTGCGGTGGCGCCCTGGTTCTGCTCGACGAGCTGCACCTTGCTGAGCTGCTGCAGTGAGGGAGGCTCAATGATATCATAAGATGACAGAGCAGGGCTAATCTCGACCATGCGATCCCGAAGTTGAGCGACATCGTCATAGGGAAGGCGGACGCCGAGGTACTCGCTCACAGCGCGGAGAATCTTCCAGTCCGTACGGGCGGCACCGGGAAGGCCGGTGGCAGCGCGGGTCATCTGCACACGGCCCTCGGTGTTGACGTAGGTGCCAGCCTTCTCGGTGTAGGCAGCGCCAGGGAGAACGATATCGGCGATCTGGGCGCCCCGGTCACCATGGTGACCTTGGTAGACAATGAAGGCGTCCTTGGGGATGTCGGCCTCGTTGAACTCATCGGCGCCGAGGAGCCAGACGAACTTGGGCTTTGTCTCGGCAATCTCGGCGGAAGGCACAATGAAGCCAACCTCGAAGGCGCCGACTCTGGAGGCAGCGCGCTGCAGGACGTTGTAGCCGTTCCACTCTTCAGTAAGGAAGTTAGAAGCGTTGCTGTCGACGAACTTTCCAACGGTCTCATAGAAGGCATTAGCGTCGCCGTGGTCGGTGACGCCGGAGCCCACAATGATCATGGGGTTCTTGGCCGACTGGAGCTTCTTGCCAAAGTCACCCTCAAGCGCCTTCTGAAGAGCAGCGTGGTCGGTACCTAGGTGCTCAAACTCAAAAGTCGAATCCCAGGTCTGGCCAACAACGCCAATCTCGAGATCAGAGCGCAGCCATTGCTTACGGATTCTAGCATTGAGTACAGCGGCCTCATGTCTCGGGTTAGTACCAACTAACAAGATAACATCAGCAGATTCGATACCGACGATGCTGGAGTTGAAGATATAGTTGGAGCGGACATCAACACCATGAGCAAGAGGTTTGTGGCCCGAGGGCATATCCAGCGCAAGGTTCTCCGATCCGAGCCTGTTGGCAAGATCCTTCATGGCAACCAATGACTCAACCTCGGTGAGCTGACCAGCAATAGCCTTGAACTCATTGCCCTGGGGGTTCAGCGTTTGGTAAGCGTGTGCAATTTCGGTCAGAGCCTGGTCCCATGACGCCGGCTCGAACTTTCCTTCTCTTCGGACCAGGGGAATGGTAAGACGCTGGGTCTTGAGGCCATCGCAGGCAAAGCGAGTCTTGTCGTTGATCCACTCTTCGTTAACCTCGTCGTTGAGACGAGGAAGAATGCGCATAACCTCCAAGCCACGAGTGTCGACGCGAATGTTAGAGCCCAGGCCGTCCAGAACATCAATCGATTCCGTCTTCTTCAGCTCCCAAGGGCGCGCACGGAAAGCATACGGCTTCGAGGTCAGAGCACCGACAGGGCAGAGATCGATGACGTTACCAGAAAGCTCAGAGTCGAGGTTCTTCTCCAAGTAGGTACCAATCTGCAGGTCGTTGCCACGGCCAGTCGAACCCAGCTCCGGGGCGCCGGCAATATCGTTCGCAAATCGCACACATCTCGTGCACTGAATACACCTGTTCATGGAGGTCTTGATGAGGGGACCCATGTTCTTGTCCTCCACCGCTCGCTTCCCGCCGACTTCGTGGAACCGACCACGGTCGCCGCCGTAGCGCATCGACTGGTCCTGGAGATCGCACTCACCACCCTGGTCGCAAATAGGGCAGTCCAATGGGTGGTTTGCGAGCAGGAATTCCATCACACCCTCGCGCGCCTTGTGCGTCAGGGGCGAGTTGGTCTTGACGACCATGCCAGGCTGGACGGGCCATGCGCACGACGCGACGGGCTTCGGGACCTTTTCGACTTCGACCAAGCACATGCGGCAGTTGCCCGCAATCATGAGCTTCCTGGCAAGTTACAACATTTGTCAGTCGATCTTCGTAGGGCTGACGCCTGCTGGAGTGACTGGAGCTGCGATCAATTTGGGAGAGCGGGGCGAGCCACATGTGACGTACTCATGATAACAGTATCTGCAAGACAGTCAGCAAGAACCTCTACGGGCAGTTCCGAGATTCAGGGTCCGTTTTCCGCATACCTGGGAATGGTAATGCCGGCCTTTTCGCAAGCCTGGATCAAGGCCGACCCAGCTGGTGGTTTCCTCGAGTATTAGCGACGACCATGTCCGTATTTTTGGCCCCCCCCTCATCCCCATTTTCCGTAGCCAGGACTTGCGACGCAGCGCATTGTGAGTGCTCACCCTCGATAGAGACCTTCTTTCCATCTGTGAGATGCGGGAGACACGAGTCAGTATCGGCGCCGACGGGTACGGGGATCATACACGGTGTATGCTAGTCATGGGGTGGAGGTCTGGATGGAGACATACCAATTGTGAGCTCGACCTCTGCGGGTCTCTGAGCTGTGGCCGAAAAGGCACGGCTGGCGTTCCTGGCCGCCTGATGCCTGCCAGTCCGCCAAGCCGAACGGGACAATGTCGACCTCAACATCGTGTGTCGTCGTCTCGACGGCGGTCGGAGGGGGACTTGGAGGTCGAGATAGTATCGAGAGGTTGAATGTATCGCAATATGCCTGCAGCCAGCAAGCGCCTGCTTGTATGTTATGTCGGGTCGGCAATGACAGTGGGCAGGTCGTCTGGTCTGTGCTGTGAGTTGGACGACAGTACACTAGACCCGGACCTGCCACTCTGCCAGTCCAGTGGTCGGTATTGCAGTGGGCTCAGGTTCCACCCTGCCGCCCCGGCAAAGAGTAAGGAGCTGGACCCCACCAGCTGCCGGCTACTCAGCGGAGCAAAGAGAGCTTCGACCAATCACGATGCTTAATTTGTAAGCCCACTCTCGAGATTTCAAAACTCCTTTAAAAGCTCGGCCAGCTGCCGCGCTTCCTCTTTTCTTGATCTTTTTCCCTCATTATTGTACCATGGCCACTTATTGTAGGGGGATATTGGTTCGCAAACTGTCCACGCTTTCGGGTATGGCTTTTGCACGCTCTACGAGTGTTCCCCTCTATCATGTGTCCTAGATAGATTTTCTTTGGCTCCGTTTATGGATACACGCTAGATGTCCCTTTCGAGGGCGTCTTTGAGCAGTGATTCTTACCGCCGGTTGCCACATCTCATCACAACCAAAATGACCTTGCTTAAAAGCACGGTTGAAGTAGAAGTGTAGTTGATCTGCTCCATGTTCATTTGGCGACTATCTGGGACCGAATTCTAGCTTCACGGCTGCTGCTCAACCCCTCTCACGAGCTCGTACCCATGTCGAAACTCTGATGGCAGGCAGCATGTGGTGATGATATATCTAGTCATCAGCCCATGGGTGCATCTTGAACCCGAGTCCGTTCCTCCGGCCTCAACGCCGCCTGTCGCAGCATCTCCTGCTCCTTCCCCAGCAGTTCGACGTAGGTGCTCCTCAGGCCCTTCATGTGGTTCTGGTACGCCTCGATCTCATTCTTCCCCGCTTCCACCACCGTCAGGATATCCATCATGGCCTTCTCCCTCAGCGAGACATCGCGTGGCATGAACTCCTGCGGGTTGAGCTCCGGTAGATGCTTGACATTGAACGGGTTGTTGGGGTCGTTGTAGTCAATCCCCTCGGGAGCTGGCCTCTCCATGCTGGCAAACACGGCGTCGATTTCCGTCTCTGCTGGGCCAGGCGGGTGCAGATCGCGAAGCTTAAACTCTTCCTCACGCTCGGCCGCGTCAAGAGAGAACCGACGCATTTCCCGTTCAAACATCCATATGTAGTTCTCCTTGACGGCGGCGGTGTGGTAATCGATGGTCTCGATAATGCGCTTCAAGCGTGCGATCCGCTGGCTTGGCTCATCGTCTTCGGATGGTGGTTCGACGTCGTCTTTTCTGAGAGGGACAAACATGCTCGGTGCCACGTTGGTGAGAGGCGGAATTTGCTGAGAGGGTCGGAGTGTCGGGGGTTGAGGTTGATGCTGTCCGCCGCCGGTGGAATGGGCACCCGGGCGATGATTCGAGTGTGAGGACATTGTGGCTGCTTGATATAGGCACAGGGACAGAGAACTGTGCCCAAAGGAATGTGCCTTTCGCGATACCTCTTTTGACTGAGTTTCTTTCAGAAGAGAACGCTTTGGTTGAGTTCAAGTATAGTTATGGGGCTTCCTGACGGCGAGAATGTCGTTAGCAACTGTCCTTGTAGCTCTGAAGAGGATTGCTTTTGACACTTGTCAAAACATACGATGACATCAAAGTTATCAAAGTTGTTCTGGTCTGTGCATTGACCTGCCGATATTAGCTGATGTGAAAAATTTACATGTTGCGATAGTCACCATATCTTCTGCTAATTTTGTACTGATGAGATGAGTGTCCTCGGACGTTGAAAGATTCTACGTTTTGTTTTGAGATAGCCAATAATAACTTCAATATCCTGGCAAGTTTACCTGAAGGAGACAACCTAATCGACGGACTTACGTGCTAGTCATAACCCACATCAGCCATTCCATTTTACCGTCAATATACAACTCCGATTACAGCATCTTGAAGTTGTTACGAAGATTTTGTGTGTGTGAAATCTTAAATATCAATATGTCTTTGAGCGCAAACAAGAAAAATTTGATAAGTACAACATCAACTTATGCCACCCTCGAGCTTGCTTATCCAAAGGCCACGAGGCAACGATGCGCCAGTGAAAATGCATTAAGTCATGACACCTTGGAGATCCTTTTACCCAATACCATGTAGGTAAGGTATGTGCGGGTTAATGTGCGAGCCAAACAATGTGCAACCATACGTCCCGTCTTTGTTATATTCCTCGTCTTCGCGGTGGATAATAGTACTGCTCCACATCCCGCTCTTGTACTGCTTAATAGACTTCACCGGGATGGTAAGACCAACCTTGCATATTCCCTCGCCAGCTTCAATGTTCCTCTCACATAATCCTCCAGCCTCCTGTCTTTTCTCTTGCGCATCCAGAGCAGCAGCACCACCAGGATGAACAGGTCAATGATAAAGTGTTTCACGAGCACCCAAAACCACCATCCAATCCAGTTAGTGAAGCTCTTTTCCTTGCGCGTCTTCCACTCCCTTCCCGACGAAATTTGCTCCCTCAGCGCCGCGATCTCGGCCGACAGCCTCACGATCGCTCTCTCCATCCTCTTGGTTCGTTTGTCGTTACGTTTTGCATACTCGCCCGGAAGCTCATCGGCCCCAAAGAGTTCCTGCTCTGCCTCCTCCCTCATCCTTCTCTCCGACTCGTCCTCCTCACTCATGGGGCTCAACACCCTCAAGCCCCCTTCTGTCCCGCTCAGCGGGTGCTGAAACCTTCTCACACCAGCTCCTGGGCTTTGGCCGTATGGACCAACACTGCCATACCCATAATTGCCTCCGTTTCCTCCATTATTATACGGTTGATATTGTTGTTGCTGCTGTTGAAGCCCACCACCAGCAAGCGACTGCTCGCTGGGGCTATTATTCTTGACCTGATTCCACACAAACTCGAGCTCGGCGACCAGTTCGAGCGCGTTGGGCGTATTGTTGGCATACCGATGCATCGTCTCGATCAGCGCCTCGACGTAGCGCCGCTTAGCCTCGGTGCGGGACAGCCCTTTTTGTGAGTTCCACGCGTCCCACTTGTCCTGCTCGCGCGCAATGTCTTCGGGCGCAGCCCCGTAGGCTGTCGCGGCGCTGGGCCGCTCCATCACTCCGTCAACGTCGCCTTCCATGGCTTGCTTGTAAAGCCCATAGAGTCGCATGCGGTCACCGGGAGGTGGGCGGGCAGCGCCCGTTTTGGGAATCTTTTTGACGGTGTTGAGGGCATGAACAAACACCCGGTCTGAAGGAAAAGGAGGAAACGTTAGCTGAGTGTTTGCCTCCAGCATGTAAAAGTTATATAGGGTGGGTATAAGCTGACGCCTAAACGAGCGTACCTATTGAGTCTGCCATTTTTATGGTATAATGAAGCGTCGCCAATAGATAAAATTATTACTTGTGTAGCTGGGACAGATATGATGAAAACAGTATGTGGTGGTAAATGCTATTACGATCGTGCTTGGTATGGTATGTCTATCGTTGGGTATATGGCTGGAAATTGCAGTGGCAAAGCAAATTGTAGTCGTAAAGCGCGTCGATGGGGTCGTTGGGGGAATAAACACGTCGATTCGTGAAGCGTGACAAAGGGGTTCTGTTGATGGATGATCTTTGGAGACTGGCTCACACCGGTCGGGAATCGCAATCGGCGGGCCGCTGAAACTTTGATTGCGAGCTGAACTGTTGAAGCTCGGAGCAATGATGTCTATATGATGCCTCAGAGAGAAGGATGCCGACACCATAAAAGAAAGGTCGTTCGGATGGGCGAAAGTGGGGGTTGGACTAGGTTGGATTACATCGTGTTAGTTGTAAGTGGGAGTCTCTGCTGTTGTTGTGCGAGCGCAACTACAGGTGCTTGTCATTGATGTCGATTGGGCGATGTTTCATGGGCAGGTGAATGGTACAGCTCTCCGCTATTTGGGATGCCTCGGCACGCAACTCGTTAAGGCCTGATTGGATCTCCACTTCCCCATCTTTTCGGCGCACCCCGGAGTAGGCGAGGTGGGATCGGGTCTCCCCTGGACGGAGCCGGCTTGATAGCTCCGGCCGCAGTAAGCGCACTTGGGATGCACCGAGAAGAATGTTAATGATTGGTCGAGCGCTTCATGACCACCGTACAGAAACTTGAGGGACCCCACCTTCTATGTCTTTTTTTGTTTGTCCTCAAGGGCCTTGGTTGTCAAAGCAATAGTGGTTTGGGAGACCTGCATTCAAGATAAGCCGCCAGAGTTTTGAAAGTAACGAACACTCCAGGTAGGGGTACAACATTCCGAATATGTCTGATGGATATCTCTACTAGCTATGAAAGGAGGTGCTGACCTGTGGATGAACAAGATGGTTCATCATCGACTTTGTCCACAGCTTGTTCGTTGTGGTTTCTCTTCATATGTGCAAACGAAACTGTCCCCGGTCCTCCCTTGAACCCGGGTCGTTTACCCGTAGTAATGAATGGCCTAATTCATCTGCTATGCGTCCTTCTCATGGCCGACGCCCAAGGTAAACCACGAGACTACGGGCATGTGATGGTTGGTGTGTCGAAGTATCAAAGATCATATGAGACCGAACAGTACTTGGCCGCTACAACACGCCGCCAGTGGTTTCCTGTGCCGAAGGCTGATCCTTCAAGGGGAACGTCACTCCTGCCTGCTGCAGCTGGGCTTCCCGCGCGGCCTTCATCTCCGCCTTCTTGTCCGCAAACTTCTTGAGCAGCTTCTTATTATCCAAGGCCATTTGAGCCGCTTTCTGACCAGCTTCCTTCTTGCTCAAAGCACTTCCGTGCCCAAGTTGCAGGTTGGTTTCTCCCCAACCTGTCATAAAACAGCCAATAGCGAAAAGAGGCAGCTTAGTTCCCCTGTCCTTGAGGTTTTTGGAAGGGAGATCTTTATACTCGATCTTGACACCCCTGGCTCCAATGGTAGCTTCGAGTACTGTCTTTGGGTCGAGTGTCTGGCCACTTGCGGACTGCTTTTGCTCCGGCTTCCTGGCCTTCTTCTCTTCCTCGCGGATGTACTCCGCCATGAGAGGACCCCATAGGGCCTTGAGCCAGTCTGAAGCACGCTGAATCCCATTGGCAGGATCGGAAAGAATCACGCCTCCCACATAGGCTTCGAAAAGGTCGCCGAGAATCTTAACTCTGACTTTTTGACTTGCGTTTGTACCGCCCACTCTGCCCTCCATGTTGAATTCTTCCGGGATATCGGCCATCTTGTCCAAGCCGTAATAGACCGAGAATTCGCCTAGTGTGGTGTTGCGGATAAGCATCTCGCGACGTTGTGCGCTTTTGCCAGCCGGCAAGGTCGGGAAAGTTTGGTATATGAAGGAGGAGGCGATGAGCTCAAGATAAGCGTCGCCAATCCACTCCAGCCTCTCATAACTTGCAACAGGGTCGTTGTTAGCTTTACCAGGGTGTGTGAGCGCCGCCTTTTTGAGTGCCGGGTCCAGAATGTCGGGGAGCGGTGGCCGCGTTCTCTGGATGGTAGCGAGTGTCCATTTGGTATTGGCATGCAAAGAAGGAATTTGGAAAGAGGCTGCGGACTCCAATGTAGGGCCTTGTGATGCGGATGGTGCAGAGTCTGACTTCGCACGCTTGGAGGGCGGTTCTGATACCTCCTCCGGGGTGAGTCCGTGTTTCGGCATGGCAAGATTGTACTTTCCTACAAGCAATCCGAATGCCTCAGGTCCCGCGTTGATGCGGCGATGAAATTGAAAAGAGGCAGAATCAAAAACGGATTCAAAGATGATGAGAACGAAATCCCGGGCCATTGCGTACCTAGTGGAAACCCTAACCCCCTGTTCGACCCCAGATCCACATCACTGCTGTAGTGCTGCTGCCCTGTTATGACCCGTAGCTGTCATTCTTAGCGCCTGTCAGCCCTGGAACGCGCCGCCCTCAGCTTCATCAGCGGGCTTGCGCCTGACGGCCCGGGGACAGTGCGGCTCGAAAACAACGGTTGCAACCCGTGCTCCACTCTTTGTACCGATGAATGGTTGTGATTGGTGGCGCATTGCATGACGGGCTGGAGCGGGAGATCTCTGAACGACGTCGAACAATCCGGCGGCTCTTGTTGTCGCTGTTTCTAGATTTCGCGAATCCGCAATTCCATGTAACGGCAAGATGTCGGTCCCACGGGCGCGGTTACTGCAACTTGTGAAGGTATGGAACAGTTTCGAACGAGAGGAAAAACCAGTCCGCTAACTAGGTTGTACCTAGGCTCGTTGCGAGCTCTTCTCGACGACGTTCAATCCCGAAGGCATCCGGACCGGTAACAAGATCCTGCGTCAGCGACTCAAGGGCCCGGCACTTGCGACCTACTACCCCCGCAAGAACGTCGGTATTCGCGAGCTTCAAAAGGAGTTTGGTACTCTTGGTCTCGAGGTGGACGATGAGGTTGATGATGATCGTTTGGAGCACTTGGCAGCGTTCGTCTCTCTCATTCCTGCTAGTGTTTACTTGCAAACATCACAATCTAACCATACCCTACAGTCTGAGAGCCCGCGACAAGGGAGCGCCCAAGAAGAAGAGGACGGCACCCTCGGCGGCCGGTAGGTTTCGTCTGTACCTCTTGCTCACGGTTCAAGTCTCTAACGTACATATTCTGCGACAGATGCGAAGAAGAAGAAATAAGACACAACGTCCCGAAAACAGAACTACACGACGTGTACATGTATCATATAGTGGGCGGACTAGAATCATATACCCCGAATACCTGGCGTTCCTCCGGCAGTTGGTCCATTTCGACATCCATTTGTCCGCTCAGTACTTGATGCCATAACAGTCTCCACGTGACGAGGTGCTGCCCATGACTGTACATATGGTTAGCGACGCCCGCGGCACTTGCCCCTTCAAATGCTGTTGAATTGTTGCCTGGTTTGACAGGCAGGTTTGTGGTTACCAGCTTTGACAAAGGTTCATCTCCGGACTGTCCTCCCATGCGTCTACACAAGTCTTGTTATGCATCAAACAAAGAAGCACCTGTTGATAAGCTGAAGATATCGGATCTTGATTCCATAGCGCGGATGGGCTAGAGGTAGGATATGACCCTTCGCCATTGTCCCTCTTTACGAACAGCTTTGATCATTTGGGTGAAAACCACCCAAGATCTTTGCACAAGCCGTCCATGTCAAAGAACGCCATGAATGTGAAAAGGTGCGTTGGCTCTTCCTGCACCATTTCTAGCCTTCTCGAAAATAAAAATGGATAGGAATGGAAGCTAATCACACCTGCCACATTCTGCAAAGACCTTGGCATCCCAGCCCTACGGAACGAGAGAAGCCGACCCGCCACTCCTATCTGTTGATGCCGACGATGGTAGGTGATGATGCTGTCTTGTTGAAGCTTCCAGATGTTGGATGCTTTCCTACCTACTCTACTCATTTTCATTCCGATGAAGAATGGTAGATAACACGGGATGGCAGGTGACATGAACACCTATGAATCCCGCCTAACTTATGGACTCGGAATATGTCATTGGGGCTCGGATGCCTGACCCAGAAACCCGTTGATCGTATGGGAAGTGGCAGCCGGACAGCAAGGTCCTTAACGCGGCAGGATGTCTTATCGCTGGCTCGGTTGACCATCATGCCCGACGTCCCCGCGACAAGTGAATAACTTCCGCTTGGTGATAAGCATCCAGTTACAAGGACGGGAGGCACGACGCCGAACGCTAATGATCGTTAGCTGGAAGACCGGTCGCAACTTCCCCAGCGACTCACCATATTCGATTCCGATTTTCGGATGGACGAGCCGAAATACGTTCACTCTTCAGATCATCTGATGGCAGCCCAAGCGAGCTTTGATCATAGAAATTGCGGATTATCTCGTAGGCATCGTGAACCCCTTTTCGCTTGGAGTGTCCGGGCAGTGACACCTGGGCAGCCCCGGTCACAGTTCAGTCGTGCCTTCCTCCCTCGGGAGCCAAGGGTCCACCATTTCAACTTTAGTCTCGGTCATCCCGGGCTCATACCTACGCCTCTAGCCCTATTCTGACCGGTGCGTCCATCGTCACCAAGATGTTTGTTGCTGTTGCCTTGCAAAAAGGTCCAAGTTCAGGGCAACTGTAGCTGAAAGTACGGGTATCTCGGGCACATTTACACTCTTTCTTCCGTCCAAGACCAGCTCTTGGAGCTCTTTCTCTTTTCCCCATTATATCAACACATATCTCTAAGGCTTCTTCCCTTTCTGCATCTTCTTGTCGGTGCCATCACCAACCGTGTTTCCTCAAAAGCGGTTTGTGGTCATCTCTCGTCCCCAAGCTTCTATTTATCTGTGTCTTTCGTCGCCATTGGAACCAAATCTACTGCTTTTCTCTATCACCATCTTGAGCATCTCCTCCCATTGTGAAACACCAGCACCCAAAGCATCCCTCCAATTCCCTCAGGCTAGGTCATTCAACACCCAGCCCTCAGCAGACGACCATGTCTGCCGTCGCAGCATCCACCGGCTCTCCCAACGAGCGCCGTGCTTCGGCTTCCAGGAGTTTCTCGCAGTCTCAGGACGAGAACACGAAGCTTCCCGATGAGTTGATGTCTCCCAACTTGCAGCAGGTATGTATTCTAGTGTATGTTACGTATCCAGTTGCATGTTTCAGGTTCTTTTTTCGGGTCTTGGAAAATTGCTGCCCTCACCTCCCGCCGGGTCGTCGGAACCTTGCCGGCCCTCAGACGGCGACAAACTGCAACACATTCGGGACGAAAATCATTACAGCGGACTGGCAGCTGTCGGTACTAAACCTCTCGACGCGCGACCGCCAGACACTCACCAGCCCCGCTCACTCCCACAACAACATAGATTCAGCCACTGCTTGCTCACAACCTTATTCTTTTCTTTAACCGAATCATCGGACCTGTATTTTGTCCCAGTCACTCCTTTCATATTCACTTGATCTATCTCGCGGCTGTTGCGCCTTTCAACCCACTCATACATATCCACAGGCCTTAATCACTGACCCGATCTCTGCTAGGACGTCGAGCCGTCCCCTCAAAAACACTCCATCAGCGCCCTTAAAACGTCCAAAATAGCGAATCGGAACTACACAAAGGTAGTGAACCACATTCAAGGAAGCAGCGCCTACATCCGTTAACCACATAGCATAGGTTAAGATGAACGAGGCCATGGCCGCCGTAGACGCCTACTCCATGGACAAATTGTACGCCACCATCTCCGAGCAACAAGTCATGTCACTGCAGCAACGCAGCGTCGAGTCTTTCAAACCGTCGGACGAAGAAGTCAGATTCCCTCGTGCCCTTGATCACCAGTCGTCGTGCAGCTCTCTTCCCATTACGCCCGCTACGGATGGGTTCCATACAACTGCATCTACGACTAGACCTGCTAGTGCCACGCTTAGCGACGGTCAACCCACCAACGACGAGGTTTTGCGTTTGAAGCAAGAGCTTGCGCAGGCCCAGACCAAAATCTCACGGCTGGATCAAGAACTGGCTCAGACTCGCTACGTCACCCAGGACGGTGTATGCGCGACGCCAGACTTGAGTGTCGATCCCGACTTCCAGGCTGCCAGTGTTGCGACGGTATCTCCCTCGGGCTCGCGACCCGCCACGAACGGAGCATTTGGATGCCCTGCCAAAATGCCATTCGGCCGTGACAACAACTGGGCGGCTCACAACAATGCGCGCCCCGATACTGGAGATACTTTGTTAGACATGTCGGCTGCAGGCCTCAATCGTTCTCGCGCCATTTGGAACAACAGCAAATCTTCCCATTCTCCGACTTTTGCGCCCGGACCTATCGCTATTGTCGACGGTCCCCAGGCCACACCGTGGCAGAACATGCGTGGCTCGAACCAGGCATACGAGCCTTCTTATATGCCTTCGGCCCTGGAGCCTTACCGACCTGAGCGTATCAACAATGATCACGACATGAGCCGCCCCATGGGTCGTCGAGGCAACAGATACGATAACCGCTTAGGCTCCTCCAGTGCCTATGGAGGTTACAGTGTGTACAACATGGGGCCTGCCCACTACGAAGCTACTACTCCTGCTTATCCAGGAGGCCCGCCTAACGTCATGGCGGGGGGCGCAGGCATGAATATGTATTCGGCCTACCAACAGCCGCCGGTTGTATCACCGCTTTCTCCGCATGCCACTGAGTTTACTGCTGCAGGAGCACCTTGGAAGACAGAGGTGAGTTTCGTTGGAATAGATTCCATCATTGATTGGACTGACAAACTCTCCTTACAGACTGTGACTTCCGAAGGACAAACCTATTTGCCGGCTACGGAGCCTCTCAACTATCGCAGGCTGTTGGACCGCAACGTCACTTGCGACTGGAAGTATATCGTCGACAAGATTGTTTGCAACAATGACCAACAGGCTTCTATCTTCCTTCAGCAGAAGCTTAAGGTGGGAACTCCTGAGCAAAAGTATGACATTGTTGAAGCCATCGTTGCGCAAGCCTATCCATTGATGGTCAATCGGTTCGGAAACTTTCTCGTACAGCGCTGCTTCGAACATGGTACTCCTGAGCAAGTCATCAAGATTGCTGAGGCAATCCGCGGCAATACTCTCAACCTTTCTATGGATCCCTTTGGTTGCCACGTCGTTCAGAAGGCCTTCGATTCTGTCCCTGAAGATTACAAGGCTATTATGGTCCACGAGCTTCTGCGCAGGATTCCGGAGACGGTTATTCACCGTTACGCATGCCACGTGTGGCAGAAGCTGTTCGAGCTGAGATGGACTGAATCTCCCCCGCAGATCATGAAGTACGTCAACGATGCTCTTCATGGCATGTGGCACGAGGTTGCATTGGGTGAGACTGGTAGTCTTGTTGTCCAGAATATCTTTGAGAACTGTTTGGAAGAAGACAAGGTATATTATCTGTTCATGTTCCACATAACCTCTTTACCGCATGTTTACTGATGATGTATGCTACAGCGTCCCTGCATCGAGGAAGTCCTTGCCAACATCGATATCGTCGCCCATGGCCAATTTGGAAACTGGTGCATACAGCATATCTGCGAGCACGGTGCTCCCGCAGACCGCAGCCGTGCTATCGATCATGTTATTCGCTATGCAGCTAAGTACAGCATGGACCAGTTCGCCTCAAAGGTTGTTGAGAAGTGCCTCAAGATTGGAGGCCCAGAATTCTTGGGTCGCTATCTGGATCGCGTTTGCGAGGGCAGACATGACCGTCCACGCATCCCGTTGATCGATATCGCCAGCGACCAGTATGGCAACTACCTCATCCAGTACATTCTGACCCATGCCAATCCTCAGCACCGGGAGATCGTTGCTGCTCACATCCGGAAGCATATGGTCTCTCTTCGTGGATCGAAGTTCGGCTCCCGCGTCGGCATGCTCTGCACCAACCATGCTGTTGCTACTCGTCCTGGCCCTGGTGTTGGCCCTGCCATGGGAGGCCGCGTTGCTCCTGGTCCTCGCTTCAATGGAACTTATCACCGTTGAAGGTATGCCGTATCACAACAGACCCCTCGCTCATGAGGACGACAATTTTCCTCTTTTGTTTCAAGTATACACTACCTTTTGTTGCGACAATGTTCGAGTACAAAGGACGTCGTTCGTTCAATCCTGCGCTGGATTTTCGCAATCGGTTCTCAGCTGGAAGTTTACCTATAACATATGAGATTCGGTTTTCACAACATCTTCGTCTGCAGCTAATTTAACAAATCACCCGACATCCTACGCTCGGGAGGCTACTGCCCCTTCGAGCGCTTTGGAAACAACATCACTTATGGATTTTGCAATATCAAGACGACCCGGTACGCGGCTCATAATGGAGGAAGTATGAATCTGCCTTGTCCCGATCTAGTGATGACGAGCAGTCACACAACCTTTTCTAGTTGTTCGTTTCTCTGACGGACCCGTTTTCCCCTAATGTGCGGAGTTTATTTTTTGGCGCTCAAGTCTGCTGAAGAGGGTTACTCGAATAATGGAAAAATGGTACGATGAAGAGTTCAACAAAGGGGGGCTGGAGTAAGATTGTCTAGTTCTTTTTTGTGTTAGGTTAAACATGGAAACGAAACGACTGGAAGCATGGATGGAAGTTAAATGCATGGCCTGCAATGGATTACTCGGCCTTGGGCATGTATCAATGATAGTTACGAGTCTCATAGTCGCTCGCTTAGCTTACGGACCCATGAATAAATGAGTCTATATAACTTATACATACTTGTAAGACGGTTGAATGAATGACTTCAATATGCTTATCGAGTTGCTCTGAAGGAAACCGCATGCGTAGTTTTCCCC